GGAAGAATCCTAAGAGGGTGAAATGTGAAAAAACAATCCCACAAAAAAAATCTTGTTTCATTCCAACAAGTGAAGATGTAGTATATTGAATAAAGTAATGTGTGCAGGGAAATAATGGATAATGCCTGTTATTATTCAGTAAGGTAGTGTATACGAAATATATCAATACGGAACAATCACACAGTGAGTCGTACTCTTAATCCACAAGCCATTTTTTTTTTTACAATAATTTAGTGAAGAAAAGATACAGATGAATCGCAAAGGAGAAGAAGAGATATAACCCGGATCTGTCTGTCTGTACTCCATCCCTGAATCCATATGGGATGCAATCTAGAGTTCCCTGCACATCCAAATGTAAAGCATGATCCATGTCTGCACATGCTGTGTGCAGCGGAGTTGTGATCTGCGACCAGTTAATGACAGTTTATGATTATGTAGTGCAGTAATGAGACAGATGTTTAGTAATGTGCATCTGGGTGATAATCACGCAGATCTTTATGTCAGTGTTAACAGAGAATCCAGTCAGCAGCGTAGTCCTTATATTCTCCGATAATCAGAGAGCTGTAGAGGAACATCAGACTTCATGATCAAACCAAGTTTTTTATTACTTGATGACTTCAGGCCATAATCCCCCTCCTTCTCCTCTTTACCACATTAGCACAGCCCACTCCCTCTCTGTGCTGTGGGATGCCTCACCGTTTGTTAGTATCACTTAAACACTTTAAAAGGCTGCTGAAGATTAATAAGGCTCAGTGCTTATTGAATATGGAGTTGGAAAAGTCATCACAGGAGACTCATAATCTGGCAAGGTGTGAACAGCTATGCAGAGAGCTATCCAATTGCTATCCAAATCAGCCAGGAAAAATACTAGGTTTAATTTGCCTCTGTGCCATTGGCTTCAATTACAGTGCAGAATGAGTACAGTTGAGAAGAGACGTCCGCATATTGTTGCTGTTAGAAACCATGTAAATTACCCTTTCCTTACATGTCTTCACAACTATAGCTCACTAGTTTTGGCTTGTTAAAGGCTCCACTCACACAAAGTGAATAGAGATACAGTTTGAAAAGCTAGACAAGCAGTACAACCTGTCAAAAAAATGCAAATGATGTCTTAATTAATGAGAAGCTCTCAGGTAATTTATCCAATTTCTCTTCCTGCAGATAATCTACGTGGCCCGCAATGCCAAAGACAACGTGGTCTCTTATTATCATTTTGACCGCATGAACCAAGCTCAGCCAGAGCCTGGAGACTGGAACAGCTTCTTCCACAGATTCATGGAGGGAAAGAGTATGAAATATGATACAAATTAAAGCTTTTTTTATGGAACAGATACTCACTGGATTAAAGTAATAACTCCTTTGTGTCTAATTGTGGTCTCAGTGGTGTTTGGATCCTGGTATGACCATGTGAACGGATGGTGGAAGAAGAAGCAGACTTATTCAAACCTTCATTACATGTTTTATGAAGATCTGCTGGAGGTAATGCAATCTTTTTCCTTCTCACTTTGGTTTATAGTAAAACAATGATTAAATCTTATCATTTACTTCCAGGATACTGGACGAGAAATAGACAAACTGTGCAGCTTTCTTGGTTTGTCTCCTTCTGTTGAGGAGAAGGAAATAGTTGCAGGGAAAGTTCAGTTTGATAATATAAAGAAGAACAGCATGGTCAACTACTCTACGCTCTCTGTAATGGATTACAACATTTCTCCTTTCATGAGAAAAGGTAAGCTTATAAGTAAATAACCTAATGTGGGTGACATGATACAAACAGATCTCCATTCTACATGATAACAGCTGATAGATTCTCTGTGGTTCCTCAGGAAAGGTTAGTGATTGGAGGAACCATTTCACTGTGGCTCAGAATGAAGAATTTGATGAAGACTATAAGAAAAAGATGAAGGACCACACGCTGCAGTTCCGCACTGAAATGTGAATAAGACTGAACAGGCTCTGTATATGTATAGAACTAACCCAAAAGGAAACATACTGTATAACTAAACGGTAAAAAAGTCGAAGGTCGAGGGTTCAAACCCCAGCTGAGCAACATGTCTGATGTGTCTCCTTGGGCAAGACACTTAACCCTGCATTGCTTCCGCTGCTTCGGTGGTGTATGAATGGATTAGTACTTGCTCTCTGATGTACGTCGCTTTGGATAAAAGCGTCTGCTTAGGGAATTGTAACAATTGTAACACTGTAACATTGGGTCTCCAGAGTTCTTTCACCAGACAGCTACTTTGAAAATGAAAGTGGCTGAGAGCTACTCACACCACATTGCTTAAGTGAAGTCATTAAACGTATACAAGCGGGCAACCTCCGGTCTTGAAAAATAAATGCCTGGTATGAAAAAAAAAAATCAGTCTGATTAGTTATTGTCCACATGCACACTGTACAGAGGGTGATTTTTTTTAATAAGGCATCCATTTTTATTTTATGAAAGATACATGCTATCCACAGTTAGGCTGGTAGCTAACCTGTTTGAAAGGCGTCATGATGAAGGGGTTTGTCAAGAGGTTTAAAACTCGCCTCAGCTCCAGCTCTCAGTATGTCATTAGGTTGACTGAACGTCTGGCTGAGACAGGATTTCCAGCATGGCGGCTCACTTTTCCCATCACTGTGGAAATATAATGTTTTCTGTTTCTTTCTGGGCATGGTCGCCTTCCTTCTTCATCATAAATTCGGCTAAATGGGCTCGCTAATGGCATCAAACGTCTACCTTTGGCTACGCTAGGGTAACTAAAGTTTCTGCAACATTTCTGTGATTGGTTAGGATCAGAGTCAGACATTGACAAACTTGACAGGAGCATTACCTTTGTAATTGAAAGCTGATAAGCCTATCAGATAATTTCTTATTGGGGTGAGGACATCTATGTTTTTGATTGAATTGAAGATGGAAGACGCTTTGAAGGTACATTTATGTCATCAAATTCATTGGACATATCTGTGAACCTCTTGCCATGGGTCTGAAAACTTGGTTGCACTCAAGCATCATGTTGGAGACCCCTGGTTTAAGTAGTGTTTGTATGTTCTATGGAGATCTGCTTGCAATTACGATGACAGTCCAGACAGACAGAACTTTGACCACCCAGTTTGGAGGTCAACAACTTTTGGTAATCAAAAACCGAGTTGTTCATTGGCAACGTTTGTTCTTTGAAGTGATAATGAATCTTTAAAAACCTGGAGAGAATAGCATCCGACTGATAAAGGGTAATAGCTTAATGTTTAACGTTGGTCACAGGTTAACTATAGGAACAAACATCCACTGTTTCATACGTTGGATAATTAAAGTCTCACTGTATCATTTCTTGGCTTGATTTCAGACAATTGTGCTTCTGTGATCAGGTTCAAGTGTACATTAACATCTGTCTCTTTGGAACTCTGTCAAGGGGCACACAGGTTACACAATTTATCAGGCCAGCTGAGAGGTCTATTTAATGTTAGCATAGCATGATTTAGCATATACCTTTTCTCTCTGTGAAGCTCTTCTGACAAACTTAAGTCTTTCTTCATCTTTTCTCAATGGAGTCTGTGGCTTTAAAGACAGTAATGTCTTGAGAAATAAGATCATCTCCTGTACCTTTAAGTCACTTACACTACACATTATTATAGTTGTGAAGACTATTTTATTACACATTCAAATTAATAGAACTAGCTTTCAGAAACAAAGAATTTCAGGGTTTTGCATAATTGTCCAGTAGGAATTATTTCTGTGTTGCAGTTAGTGAAATGCTCAAAAGGGCAAAGAGTGGTAATTTGATACACATTATTGTCCTGGGTTTGTCCAGGAGATGGCAGCATGATCATACAAGTGATTGGGGAGATCCCTGAGCACAAGAAGAATGGAAGAGAGTGCTGCTCATGCAATTTCATAAAATGTGTCTGAGGTAAAGTGACACATAGCACAGTCCCAGCGCTGTTAAACATCAGCCCTCGTGAAATGCTTACTGCCCTAACTAATACATTTAGATTGGTTGGAATTAACTGTCATCAAATCTGGTATGGAATGAAAATATTGTTATATATTCATGTATCTGTGCAAAAGTAGGTTACTTTACAAAAAAAGTTTGATCTTATTTTCTTAAATTGCAAGAACAGACCTTCAAATCTACAACTGCATTTCCTAAAAAGTTTAGATGTTGTGTAATAAATAAATAGAACAAATTTGATGATTTGTAGACCATCAAATTCCCATAATTGATTAAAAATAGCACAAAGGCAACATATGAAATGCTGAAAATGAAATTTTCTTAAAAAATATTTGTGCATTATGATTTAATTGCCAGCTCTACCTTTCAAAAAAGTTGTGACTGACACATACTGAACTATGGCTTTTCGGAGAGGGCCCTTCTTTCTGAAACGACTCGCAGGTATCCTCAGTTCCCAAAACACCAACAGATATTTGTTAAAAGAAGAGGTGATGGTGATTCCACAGAGTGGTAAACATGACCATATCCCAACTCTTCTAAAGTGTTGCTGGATTCATATCTAAAATGGACATGTGCTATTTTTAATTAAATATGGGTTTCCTATGTTTTGCACATCATTACATTCTGTTTCCATTTACAATTTACACAACATCCCAACTTTACGTGTCAATGGTATATACTCAGTGATATGTCCAAAGGAGAATTACTGTGATGCAAGATTGTTTCAGTTGAAACCATGAACTGCTAGATGATTCCCAAAGGGTGAGAAGACTGAGTGTGAATGTGTGACTGAATGTGTAATATTTAAAGAAACCTATTTTCCTCTGCAGTAGTAAATGTGGGTATGAGAGTAATAGAACATCCAGGTTTTAATATCTGAAACCAGCTCCAGTCTGTCAATATAAACTGAACCACAGTTCAGCGGGACTAGGTTTTAAGGACAACTCTAAAAGGATGGGAGGAGTTTGAATTTCGTCTAACTGGTTAGGGTTAGGGTTAGGCTAACCCTAACCCTAAAATAGACATTTGAGTCAACAGTTACAGTGTAACCAGGGATATGCAATGAGTTGAGAGAGATAGGACGACAGCTTTTTCCAGGAAAAGAGCAAGAGAAGAGTGTAATTGTCTGCTGAAATACAAATAATAATAATAATAGATTGGATTCATACAGCAACCTTTCAGGGGACCCAAGTGATCAGACAGTCTGATCCACACACAAGGTATGTTTCTAAGTTCTTCTATTAATTTTTAGAGCAACACTGCCCTAAACCCTTTTCACACATACGGAATGCAACAGCCAAATGTTTTACTCCGATGTTTCCCGGAGTTTATCCGGCCAGACCCCTAGTATTTTTTCCACAGATAATCCGGAGGAGCTGATGTCTGAACGCGGCAGCATATTCTCTGGAGATTTCAACTTGAGCCAATAGAAAGAGAATGACGTTTATATACAGTGACCGGCTAAAGTGTCTGCACGCGACCTCTACGATCTCTGTAATTAAACGGCTGCATTATGTTTTCTGTTCGTCAGTATGTTGTTCTCCACTCTTTTGTGGATGTTGTCATTCCATTGGACTAAACATAGCATTGATATAAAGGCAAATATTCTCATTATAACGTTGTGTAGCGGACTCTGTTGCTTCGGCCGCTACTTCCGCGTTGTTCCCCGCGCCCCCTCCCCTCTGACAGGGAAAGTCCCCCGCTGTTAGGAGCATATGTGAACGGCTAGTTCGGGAGAATCTCCGGAGAAGTCCTCCTGTAAATATCTAGATATTATCCAGAGTGCATATGTGAAAACAAAGGCTCTACAAAGGCAAAAGACCTTAACTCGCCAGAGTGTAGAACTGAGAAAAATGACTTTAAAGTCTTTTTGTTGTCCAGCCAAATGAGTTGCAGGCAGAATATTGGAAATGTGGCAATTCTTTGTTATTAATGTTCATAAAAATCTTTAGCTCAAACATGACCTTTGACCCTTATTTCAAAGTTAAGGTACTCTGCCTTTGCATTGCCTGTACAATAATACGGGGTCATGCCAAGGCAAAAGGCATTAACTTCCATTTGATACTGTATTTCACTTGGTTGCATGGTTAAAATAACACATACAACACTATTTCTTTGCTACACTTTAGTCAAGCTACGGTGTGTGTCAGAAGTGCTTGATGACAAATATTAAAACAAAGGCATAACACCTTAACTCCACTGCAGTAAAACAGTAACTTCACTTTGAGCCGCAGTAAAACAAAGGCAGAAGACCTTAACTCAGTTTGAGCATTCTAGATGCTACAATAAGGCACAGACCCTTATAAGTGAAGTTACAGGACTCTGCCTTGGTTTCTCGAGGGCTTTTGGAAGTTAAGGCAAATTCAACCTACTATTTACTCAAAAAAACAACACAATTGACTCAAGCTATCTGTCCACATAATAAAGCACATCTGTAATGTTCCAAAAATGACAAAAACTCATTTTTGAAAAAATTGAAGTTACTGCCTTTTGCCTTTCTAGGGCAGAACAGTGTGTTTATCTTTTGAGTGAGATTCTTTGCATGACACTCCGAAGAATATTTACTTACTTTTAAAACACTCAGCGTCTGAAACTGAACATGCTACATTCATCAGTTCTCCCACTCTCTGATTTTATGTTTTTGTTTACATAGTTTACTCTTTACACAAAAGATGGATTCAATTCGGCCAGAACTGTTTGATTTCCATGGAGTCTCAATGAGCCACTATTTCACAAACAACTGGGAGAACGTTCAAAACTTCCAGGCCAGGCCAGATGACATAGTTATTGCAACTTATCCTAAAGCTGGTCAGTACACAAATGACAGAAAGTGTTTTATGAATCAGATGACATGAGTTTACAAGTTTTGGGGAAATGGGGTATTACTCTCCTCTCTCCTCCATCTTTCTTTCAGGAACAACATGGGTCTCTTACATCCTCGACCTGCTGTATTTTGGTCAAACAGCTCCAGAGCGTCAGACATCCATCCCAATCTATGAAAGAGTGCCTTTCCTGGAGACAGCCCGCGTGGCTTCAAAGAAAGGTATAACAAATAATCAAACATGTTTGCATTTTATAGCTTTGAAATGCACGTTATAATTTTATGAAAAGGTTTCATGTCTCTCTTAGGGCCTATTTCCAGTGTGCTTTTCTTCTCTTTTTTGCATTGGCAGCCTCATTTTCTTCACAAAACCAACGCTGTTAGCGCAAAACTCCTAAACCAAAAATGCCTTCAGGGTCAAATTTATTCTTTTATCACATCGCTCTCAGATTGATTGATTTTTTTTATTTTTTACTTTTTTACTTTTTAAATACAGGCTCATCAATATCTCTTCTTCTCCCTTTTTGACCAATCAAAATTTTTAAAAATGCAGCACTTCCAATGTCAACTTTTTGAGATTCTCCCAACATTTTCCTTGCTTGGGGCACTTAGTCAGTCTGGAGTCTGGCTATGACGGTGTGTATGAGTCTATTTTGTGAGAAGTGCTATTGAAATTCAGGCTGTGGGTGTTGCCAGTGCAAAAAAAAAGCAGTTAGTGGACACAGGCCCTTATTAGTGCCATGTTTCTAACATGGTATCATGTTTATCTTCTTGAGCATCTTAAAGTTTAAGAGTTTTGCCTGCTCCATTTTTTCTGTTTGTCACAGGAAAAGACCTAGCAGACAAGCTGCCAACCTCTCCTCGGCTCATTAAAACTCATTTCCCCATCCAGTTTGTGCCAAAGTCTTTTTGGGAGCAGAACTGCAGGGTCAGTACATCCATCTTCAGCCACAGAAACACAAAGTTCTGACTTAGCAAAGTTTTGGAAGAATCCTAAGAGGGTGAAATGTGAAAAAACAATCCCACAAAAAAAATCTTGTTTCATTCCAACAAGTGAAGATGTAGTATATTGAATAAAGTAATGTGTGCAGGGAAATAATGGATAATGCCTGTTATTATTCAGTAAGGTAGTGTATACGAAATATATCAATACGGAACAATCACACAGTGAGTCGTACTCTTAATCCACAAGCCATTTTTTTTTTTACAATAATTTAGTGAAGAAAAGATACAGATGAATCGCAAAGGAGAAGAAGAGATATAACCCGGATCTGTCTGTCTGTACTCCATCCCTGAATCCATATGGGATGCAATCTAGAGTTCCCTGCACATCCAAATGTAAAGCATGATCCATGTCTGCACATGCTGTGTGCATTTATCCAATTTCTCTTCCTGCAGATAATCTACGTGGCCCGCAATGCCAAAGACAACGTGGTCTCTTATTATCATTTTGACCGCATGAACCAAGCTCAGCCAGAGCCTGGAGACTGGAACAGCTTCTTCCACAGATTCATGGAGGGAAAGAGTATGAAATATGATACAAATTAAAGCTTTTTTTATGGAACAGATATTCACTGGATTAAAGTAATAACTCCTTTGTGTCTAATTGTGGTCTCAGTGGTGTTTGGATCCTGGTATGACCATGTGAACGGATGGTGGAAGAAGAAGCAGACTTATTCAAACCTTCATTACATGTTCTTTGAAGATCTGCTGGAGGTAATACAATCTTTTTCCTTCTCACTTTGGTTTATAGTAAAACAATGATTAAATCTTATCATTTACTTCCAGGATACTGGACGAGAAATAGACAAACTGTGCAGCTTTCTTGGTTTGTCTCCTTCTGTTGAGGAGAAGGAAATAGTTGCAGGGAAAGTTCAGTTTGATAATATAAAGAAGAACAGCATGGTCAACTACTCTACGCTCTCTGTAATGGATTACAACATTTCTCCTTTCATGAGAAAAGGTAAGCTTATAAGTAAATAACCTAATGTGGGTGACATGATACAAACAGATCTCCATTCTACGTGATAACAGCTGATAGATTCTCTGTGGTTCCTCAGGAAAGGTTGGTGATTGGAGGAACCATTTCACTGTGGCTCAGAATGAAGAGTTTGATGAAGACTATAAGAAAAAGATGAAGGACCACACGTTGCAGTTCCGCACTGAAATTTGAGCAGGACTGAATATGTGTTTCATTTCTGAAAAGAATATTCATTTCATAGTTGCCTGGTAGCAGAAGGACATTGTTGGTCGTCTTGGTCCAAATCTAATGCTAACAATGTTTGCCACGTATCTCTTATGTGTCACTTGAGACAAGTTGTATGATATTATTATTTATACTGCTACTAGTGGTGCAACAAATCACAGTTGAACTGTGACCCTTCCTTCACGCGCCCTTGGTTTAGGAGCGGAACTGAAAAAGGAAAAGTACTGTTGTAAAATCAGCTTGCAGCCAATAAATACATGTGCATGAGTTTCAGTGATTGCATTTACATAGTCTTTAGTTTCCCTTTTTTATTTGGTTTTTAAATACACTGTTTTTGTCTTTGTGCATGTAAACATCATATCCAGATTTCAGAAATTGGGATAATCCCTTATCCCGATCTTGAGAAACTCGATTTTGCTACCTGGAGAACTCCAAAAAAGAACAGGATACTTTGACATGTAGATGCCATTCACGTCTGAAAGTGACGCACCTGGCTTTCAAGTGACTTCAATGTAAAAACCACTGTGGCTGTATGAGACACTGTTGAGGTAGTATAAAGAGCAAGAAAGTCTTAAGATGAAGCAGGTGGAGGTGGATAGATAGACTTTCACCCAGGAGACTGAGGTTCATGTCCAATGAAACCAAGATGATATAAAAGATGTACAGTGTAAGGCACATTAGGGCCTTTTTGTCATGTGACTGTTGTCATGTCTCTTTCAAATCACAAATTAATTTGAGTTTCGTGTTGAGTCTCTTCAGTGACATCATGTGACATTTGTAACATAGCAAAGTTATTGAAACCCAAAACATTGACTTAAACTAACCAAGTAGTTGTGTAGTAGTAGTTGGTTTCTGCATCAAACCCAACCCAAAACCCATTTCACATATTAAGACTTTCTGGCAATGTGAGATAAAGCTGCTAAAAGACACCTGCTTCAGTATCAAATGCTTAACGGTGGTGGCAAATTGTCAGTACGTGGCGAGTTACCACAGCTATACCTGCTGCAGCATTTTGGAGTGTTTATAATCCGTATCCTCTGGTTTCCTTTTGCCTTTTTGTTATCAAATAGCCTTATTGGCTACAACAATGCAGATGAAAACTTTGAATTTTAAAGGACCAGTTTGTTGGATTTTATGTCAGCCGTGAGCTTTCAGATTGCAAATGTATCCGATTCTTCCCATTTCAAGCGTGCAGGACAACCTGCAGTTGCAGTAAAAGAGCCAGTGTTTGGTTTTCCTGTTCAGGGCTACTGTTAGGTGGTGCAACATAGTGGACCTTCTCCCTCTGCAGATGTAAAGGGCTCATTCTTAGGTAACCAAAACAAAAGTATTGTTATTCTCAGATCATTAAACTATAATCAAATCATTCTCAGAAATACTTTATTCCATCTTTGCCAAAAAAAATCCCCATACATCTTACAAACTAGACCTTAAATTCAAATCATACTCAGTACTCAATTTTGATTTTGAAAGTAACTAAGTAGATTACTACTTGAGTACTTAAGTATGAGTAAAAGTACAGGCTTAGAAATAGACTCATAATAGTGAGTACCCAAAAAATGTCTTAATTACAGTAACTTGAGTTACAGATTACAAACAATAAGTGACGAGAAACCAACAATTAAAAAGGGAGGGGTGTGAATGAACGGGCTAAGTTAATACTGATGGACACTTTACATGGCAGCCTCTAACATCATGTGTGAATGGATAGTTGTGTAAAAGCATTATACAAGCTCAAGTCTATTTACAATTTAATTGTGCAAATAAAGTGCAGACGTTGTGAACACAGATGACAATTGAAAAACACAGGCACTGTTCAATGTTTTCACTTTTTTGTAATTTAACAGCCGAAGCTTCAAGAGAAATGAGACCTGACAGTTTCAAATCATTCTGGAGAAAGGTCCTTGAAGGGGCAGCAAAAATAAATGCAGGGCATAATGGCTTTTGGTTCTTTGGAGGCATGTACACAAATAAGTAGGAGCTGAACCAAAAAGAGTTTTATAAATAAGACTCAGGCAGTGTTTATACCTGCATACCTTCAAGGATGGCCAACAAGATTTTATTTACAAGTCACAGTGAGGAGTAAGGCATCCACAACCAGCAACAACTGAATGCACAGTGACACACAATGTCCAATGACTGTAAACCTTTGGCTGGAGCACAACTCCATAATCCAACTAAGGCAATAATGTTGATGACACATGAAGTTTCTTAGAGGGAAAAGCAGGGTTTATTTCTCAAATAGTAGCCTAACATCACCTTAAATTTGGCACGGTGTGCTTTGAAAGATAGCTCACAATCAACAAGAAAACCCTTTTGACATTCCTGGTGAGGTAAGAATTGATGTTGTGTTTTTTTCTCCCATGAACTAAGAAATCTCTTCCAATGAATAAAGTTTCTCTAGTTTGAGAACAATTGACCAATCAAGATATGGTTTTCTTGAGAAATGTGGAATATGGGGTTTTGTGAACCATTACGTATAGTATGATGTCTCGATGTTCTGAACATGTTGATTAGCTGATCTCAAAATGCTTCAAATTTGAAGTATTACCAGAATTTGAAAGCAGTTAAGACTTCTGAATATCAAACAGTATCACTTTCAGGGGAAAACAAGGAACTACCCACGTGCAGCATTAACTAAATATATTTAATAAACAAAAACTTACTTCCAAATGTTTAAAAAAAAAAAAAAAAAAAAAAAAAAAAAAGGAGGGAACCACAGGAGCACAAGCAAAAACTGACATAACAAATGACATACAAACAACAATGAACTGACCCAGAAGGGAAGAAACACAGCCTAAATAGACACAGGGTAATCAGACAATCACACTGGAGGGAAAACAGAGGCAGGAATAAACACAAGACAAGAAACACTAGAGACTAGAACTACAACGTAAATCAAGAAACAGTAAGATACACAGAACTCAAGAAAGTAACAAAAACACACTAGGGAAACACTAGGGTACGAAGTCAGAAAATAACACTAAAGACTAAACATTAGGACAAAAACACAAGGGAAACAAGCAACACTAGGATAAACAGGAGAAATTAAAACATGGAAACATAAATAAGACCAAATCATGACATAACCCTCTCCTCAAGGGACGGATCCCAGACGTCCCGAAAAAAAAAAAGTCTCAAACAAAACAGGGTGGGTGGAGAGGGTCCGGAGGAGGGACTCCGGCCTGTCAGGCGGACAGCCTGTAGGCCGACCAAACTCAGGGAACAGTTCTGGTGGACGGCTGGGAGGCCGGCTCAACGGGCAGACTAGTTCAGGGGGAGGCCAGGAAGTTTCATTCAAGAATCCGACAAGGACACAGGAGGAGAGGCCACCTCTGACGCAGCTCATCAGATACAGGCAAAGATGACAGACAGCGCTCTGCCGGAACAGGAATAGAACATGGGGCAGAGAGCGCTCTGCTGGAACAGGAACACATGGATGACGAGGCTTAGACTGAGGCTGGAGTTGGTTCACCGGCTGCTGAGGACAAACAGTCTCAGAGGTACAGGACTGTGAAGCAGGTGAAGAGAAAAAGTCTCTAGTCCACTCAGGGAGTAAGTGTTTGAGCCATGGTCTTCAAAGAATTTCCTCTTGAGCCGTGGAAATGGCTACCAGTCTTTCCTTGCTACAGCAAACATATTTTAAGTCATTTCTTAGGCATGTGAGGTTATAAGTAACCTCACACAACTCATAAGAAAATAATCCTGCTGGGTCCATGGTCTGGTTAGTTCATTTTCTCACATTCAGGGGTAAAACAATGAACTGGACCCACATGCAGAATTAACTAAATATAGTTAACAAACAAAAAGGCCAAAGGCAAACAAAAACTTAATCCCAAAAGTAAAAAAAAAAAACATAGGGATCAAAAACAGGGAGGCACACGAGCAAAAACTGACATATAACAACATACAAACAACAATGAACTAACCCAGCAGGGACGAAACACAGAGACTAAATAGTCATAGGGTAATCAGACACAGGTGAGACTAATGACACAGGTGAAGACAATCAGGGCAATCACACTGGAGGGAAAACACACAGAGGCAGGAATAAACACCAGACAAGAAACACTGGAGACTAGAACTACAACGTAAATCAAGAAACACTAAAGCCCTATTCGCACGGGACTAGTATTACCTGAGGACCTCTAGAAATTTGTAATAAATGCGGAGGTTGTCTGTGATCTTAATTCCGTGCGAATCTGCCATGTCCGTAATTTGTAAAGTAAAAATTCCACCGCAAATGACCTGCCATATTCCGCCAAACAAAGAGGTTATGTGATAATATTAGTCCCGTGCGAATTGGCATCGCTGTGATTTAGGGTAGTTTTTTGGTTTTTGTAGTTTTTTGGTTTTTGCCATTTACTTATGCAAATTATGCAGGCTGCGTTGGCAATTATTATAAATTATAAATGAAAGTTTTGACAGCATTTTGGGTGCAAATTCAGGAGTCTCATCTAGCTACACAGCATGGAGACCCATTCGCAGAAAGAGCAAGCTCAAATCCATCAGAAGAGCAAAATCCCCAAAGATGATTAGATGCATTACATTTTTCTATCTTTTACGCATAGATTACGCAGAGCCTTGTGTTAAAGGAGTAGCGTATGTCTGTCTGTGAATGGCTCAGAGCGAGTGAGGAGAGAGAAAGAACAAGGGGAGTGTACGAGAGGCACGCTTCTGATGCCGGGGATCGGAGTAGAATCAACGCAGAGAAACTAGTCAGCATCGGAAGTGTATGCACAGTTTGAGCTCTGTGTGCGTAACAAACGGCCGACAACTCAAGTAACAAGCCGGACTCTCCATGTCTGTTTACAACTTGCTGCACCCCGGATAAAGTGACCGGGGTTAGTACCGAAGTCATCATATCCGGGGGATATTGTCCGTAAATTTGAGTTAAAACACAGACTTCGCTTATCCCAATGCGAATGTGCCGCACGAAACACAGACGTGGTGGGGTCATTTCTAAATCACAAGAGGTCCCCAGGTAATACTAGTCCCGTGCGAATAGGGCTTAAGATACACAGAGAACTCAAGAAAGTAACAAAAACACACTAGAACAAAAAGAAACACTAGGGTACAAAGTTACAAAATAAAACACGAAACACTAAAGACTAAACTATGAAACATTATTGGGAGACACTGCTCAGCTAACATTGAGTTTCTCATGGTTAAATGTAGACCCTTCTATCAGCCAAGGGAGCTCAGCTCCACTATTGTAACTGCA